AAAAAAAAAATTTCGTCATTATGGATAACATCAAGACGTAGCACTGATTTCCACCCATGAAAATATTTTATGCGTTTTCTGGAAAATGCAAAATTTTGGCATAAAAAAGAAAAGAAGGTGTGAGGAGAAGCACTATAGGTACAGGTGTCATTTGCGGCAAAAGTGGAAATTAATTGTGCGTCTTAAACCGCTGTAAAGCTTTCAGCATTAATGAACCTGTTAATGTAGGTGTAGCGTAGCGGTTACAGTAATTTCTTGAAATTTTTTTTAACCTTCAGGTGCACAATTTCCCAAACTGTTCCGATTTCATGCGCAGCCAAAGTACAGGACCAGCAGACTGGGTGCACGAAAGCAGCGTGTATCATTTTTTCGACTTCCATTTACTCTCCATTGCTCAAACATTTATCCCATTCTTCGTGCTTGTTGCGTTTAATTTTGTAAGTGTGTTTTAAAAATTCCAGAATTAGTTTGCTTATTGGCAACTCTCGAAAGAAAGAGCTATCGAGAGCCTTGTCATGGGGTAGTTGCTGTTGACATTTGCTACTACTCAGGTTATTTCCGAGTGTCTCCTCTTTTCTCAGAAAACGAATACAAAGGCGGTTTTGCCTTTCTGTTTTTTAAATATTATTGGAATAAAACCTCCATGATCTCCTCAGGTTCATTACCTGCGAGAATTGCTTTATCAACACCTAATCATATGGAAAAAAATTTTTTTGAAGTGAATTTTATTAAAATTGATAGTAGCTCGATAACAGCCATCCAGTATTGTTTGTAAGCCGTTACAAAACAAAATTTTAAGTCAGCCAAGAAGTTGAATTTTAGGTAATAGTTCAAAAACTACTGGATGAAAATGAGGATGGCCAGGATGGCAGTGTAAGCCGCACAACGGAAGAAAATGGACATTCCTGCCATCGTCGATCATCTGCTGGCCATCACCACCATCTTCAATATCCACAGCATCGACTGCACCGACTTTCGGCTCCAGATGCATCGACGTTCTTGGGGAATCAGCCAAGGCGCAGCGAATCAACACCCGAAAATGGATTGGAAACACTCGGGATTCCACGTAGAACGAGGAGTTCTTCATTTTATATATTCAAAGAAAGAGGTGACTTCTTAGCAAACTTGTAAATTACTGCAAGTAAGCTGCAAGCATTACCTCTCAAAACAGGCCAGAGATTTCGAAAATGGCACTGAAAAAGTCATGTATCAATTTCCAGAAATTTCTCTTTTCTTGACTACTCTCTTTGATACTACAGCTTAATACTGCTCACCGCGAAATTACACAGTAACAAAAGTTGTGTGGAATACCGCCCCTCAATTGAATGACGTCAGCTTCTCATTTTGGCTGACTATTTGAAGTCCTCAAATCTATTGCGCCGGTACAGAAAAGCAAAGCATAATCATTGGCCATTATAGTGAAAATCTGTCACATATTTTATGGCAGAGTTCTCTGCTTCATTCTTGTTGGCTAAGCTATTTTGAGGTTCAGGAACGGTTTCTCGATAAGTGAAACGAGATTCGTATTCTGATTGCTTGCAAGCAACGAAAACGCTAACATTTTGACAATTCAAACCGCATTGCTCTCTACGTCTAGCAGGACGATCCGTATGCGATTAGAGTAAGGCAAAGGTGACACACACCCAGGAAAAGGGTGGCACTTCGTTAGAACCTAAAAGCTGCACTTCGTTTATCAGATGCAAGTCAAAGGTGCCACAGTCGTATCTTCTAAAAAAGTTTCGTTTCAGTATAAACTGAAAGATGTGCAGTGAAAATGAAAAGATATTGCAGTGTCCAGTGCTACAATTAAGCCGCTGAGGAACATGTCGGGGCCAGTCCGGGATGCCATTTATACGACACTGGCTATCGTAACGAGTTATTTAATCAGCAATAGTCTTCATTTGATCCTGACAATCTTGGAAAGGTCCTTCTTAACACTTAGCTTTGAAAGTCTTGCAGAGTATCTGGAGGCGTTTTTACTGTGTAGCGGTAGAGCGCTGCAATAGGCAGCAAAAACGCCGATTGTGACGACCTTGTGTGTGTGTTTGTTCATCTGTCCAAGCACTTCTACTCGGCAATCAAGCAAGCTTTGATGCTGAATTTTTGCCAGCTTGGTCCCTGGTCAGGTGCGACCTCAGGGAAGTTGTATGAATTCCATGCATGTCTGCGCCTCGTGTAGGACAAGTGAAAATTTTAGTGAGAAAGTTGCTAACTTGAAAATGAGGAAAACTAGAATGCTGAAACTTTAGAAGAATGTTCCTTACTCTTGCTCGTTTAAAAAATCCCTAACTCAGCTCCCCAGCATATCCTAGTTTTGCGTAGGGAAGTGAAACATTCTTTCATGCATTTTTCCTTCCATACTTACGACTGTATTTATACATTACATTCATTAAGTTTTTTTGCTGTTAAACTAGCAACTTTGTCGTCAGTGCAGAAATCTTTTAGCAGGAAGTAGCCTACTTTTCTGCGTAAGCGACTCGCATTTACTGCTCTTGAAATCGCGTGTTAAAGCATTTATTTCTCTTACCGATATTGTGCCTCGAGCAATTTGTGGGTTTTTTGGGTTTTTCTTTGTAAAATATTAATTCCGTGACACTGACTTAATCCATAGGAAAAAATATTACTGAGATGCTGGTTTTTTAGATCGAAAACTTCGTTGCTTCGCGATCCTGATGATCCGATGATGGCAAGTACATTTCATACGGTATTCTCAGATACGGTCAGTTTTGTGTACATGTTCACCAGTGCAATTCGGATTATTATCTATTACATATGCAATCCGGCAATACGCAAATATTTGCAAGAGTTCGAGCCTTGGCAACATGAGCAGCAGAAGCCGGCTGCTGTTGCCGTTCCTGTTTGATGTTCAGTTTCAGGATTAAAGAGAGCAGAAGTGCATGTTTTTCTGTTTCTCACACCTCACTGTAGGAAAATTACACTTTCATTTTCAATGGCCACTGTTGCAGTAAACTTTTTCCATTTGCTGTATGTTAGCGAGCAAAACCTCCGAATTGCCAAATGATCTTCAAACGGTGATTATACCTGCTGGAAATAAAGACATTAATGATGATATAAGTAAAAATGCAAAAAAAAAGGACATATTAAAAAATAATTAACTAAAAAGGAATGTTTCGGTCTATTAAGTTGTGTACATTCCTATTCAGCACCATAACTGGGCTTTGTCAGTAGGGCGGGTGTGGTGTTGATAAATTAAGAATAGCAAAATGACAGCAGTTCAAATATGAATGTGTAGCAGATAAAAGATAAATATGTATGTAAGTAACGCGTAATGTGAATATGAATGAATGTGTTATAAAGGGATAA